CAATGCACAATTCCTGGACAACCAATCCATGCCCAGAATAACCTCCAAGTTGGCCATCGGCAATCATATCAGATCTACCGAGAACTCACGACCCTCCCACTGAAACACAACATCTCGATGTACAGTGGTAGAATCACACTTTTCTTCGGTGGCGGTGGTCACCCGCAACGGTGGAGAAAGCACAGACATGGGCAACTCAAGCCCCACAACAATCGGGGTAGCAACAAATGAATGCGTAGCCCCAGAGTCAAACAAGACATCAACAAATGATGCACCAATAGTAACTGTACCTCTAAAAAGGTTCACAGCTCTATCCGACTGCTGACGATCCAGAGTATAAACTCTCCCAGAAGATGGTGGCACCGCAGGTGCCGAAGTAGGTGGAAGGGAAACCATCTGAAGTGGCATTTCTTGAACTGCAGCCGCTCTCGCTGTCGCCAATGGACAATCCCTAGACAAGTGGCCCTCCTTGCCACACTGGAAACAAATCAACTGGTCGGTGGAACACGGCCCAAAATGAGTCTTCCCGCATCCCGAACACCTGGGAGTAGGAGGTCTCGCTGCACTCCCTTGAGCAGAAGTCCTCTTAAACTGATTTGGCGCCTGCCGAGCTGCCATCTGTTTTCCTTTACCTTGTTCCAAAACTTCCTGTCTCTCCAAGAAGTGGAACTACCAGCTGCTACCTTCGTCGCCTCTGCAACCTTGGCCTTCTTGGCCTTACTCGAGTTGTAGAAGTCCTCGATATCACGACACTGCTGAACCAGTGTCCCAAAGTCTCTAGAAGCAGAACCAGCAAGGTAACCAGCAATATCCTCACTAAGTCCTCTGCGGAACTTAGCAGCCAAGAATGTAGGAGTAGGCCTCACCATCCTGAAGTGTGCAAACTTCACCAGCTGGTTGAACTTGGCCAGGTACTCGTCGACAGACAACGAGCCCTGAACCAACCTGTCAAACTCTCCCTGCTGCCTCTCCTGAGCGTCATACGGAAAGTACTGACCCAAGAAGAAATCCTCGAACAATGGCCACGTCATCCTATGGCCCTGCATCTCGTAAATGTGAGAAGTGTTCGTCCACCATTCGTGGGCATCGCCCTCCAGCATGTAAGTAGCGAACATCAGCTTCTGCGGATCTGTGCACTGCATGACCCAAAATATCTTGTCCAACGCCTGTAGCCAACGCGCCGCAGCAATAGGATCAAAGGATCCATCAAATGTAGGTGGCTTATGCTTACGAAAAGCATTCAGCCGGCGATCGATCTCATCTCGATCCTCAGCAACAACAGGGACAGTCTGCATAGCCCCCGCAACGTGACTGCCATCACCCATCTGACTCTGAGAGTCATCCTGCAGGCTGGGTGGAGGTGGTGGTGGTGGCGGTGGAGGTAGTGGCGGAGAAACATGGTCAACAGCAGGACCAGTCCTCATCTCCTCCAACATGACTCTAAACATCGTCATGTTCGCCAGACGGTTGGCCTCCAACACGTCCTCAATGGCCTTCCTGTTCGCCTCTCTGACGGCGTCCAACATAGCCTGGTTTGCCATTCTCATGGCCTCCTGGTCGGCTTGTCGGGCCGACTGCATCTCAGCCAATGCTGCCAGGACAGGATCGGGCTGATCCTCCGAAGTCTCGCGGTTTCTCCCGGGTCTTACCATGACTCTGCACAAGTTACACAAATTATGAGTTGATCAGGCCACGCAATGTGATCACATATGCATTATCATAATAATACTCAACGGAGCAAACACACAAAACAGACACAACCAAACATCCTAATCATTGCAATACATACAGGTTTTTCCCTTCAACCGTTGCTCTGATACCATAAAATGTAACACCCCGTATATATCCGGTAGTGTTATCATTACATCGTATTAAGCTACGCTTAATTAAAAATACGGAATATTCTTTTTCTTATCAATTATGACGTCATTATCAATTACCAATTTGATTACTTAATCAATTTCATAAAATATTTCCTGAATATAAATTGCAATAAGACATCTACTGAAATACCTCAATATATAAATAAAGTGAGTATCTAAATCACAGATCTACATCACGTAGTCCGGACAATAGCCTGATACATTATTACAACTCCAAATAAAACTAAGACATAACTAGTCTATGTGTCATGGACAATCCCCATGCTCACCAAATCAACAGCGTCTCAACAAGATAATCCAAAACCATAAAATGAAGCTCAAAGCATAAAAGCAGCATGCATATCCAGCATCCAACATGTCAGCATATAATATCATCAATATCTAACTCAGCTCCGGCCTCCTGCCGCCTGGGGCCTCAACCCCCACATTACCTGATCCTGAAATAAGCATTCCCCAAACGTGGGGTGAGATCTCTAAACTAGAAATCTCAGTAAGACAAAGGGTTCTTAAGGATCTTCCACCCCAAGCTCACTTACATGTGCAATATAAGTTCTAAAAGCATTTATATCAATATCAGTTCCAAAACTATGTAGTGCAACAGATATTCATGCCATGTGTGTTTATCACTATTCTACTGGCCAGAGAAATGCAGGAATACGTCTATACCTACATGTAGTACAAGGAACACCGCTTGCACCTCACCCATAGCCTCACCATCTTGTATGTACCACATACTCAGGCTTACCGTATAGGTGGAACACCACATGCATATCATAAAGGCACTCGCATATAACAACTCAACAGCATTTCCAAAATATCAAAAGCATGTAATACAGCATGCATATAACCATACCCCCATGGGACATGGTGGAACCACAACATGGCTAAACCGAGGACACAAAAGCTTACCTTGCAAGCTCACTATCCAATGCCAAGAGTCCTCACAGCTCAAGTCCAACACACAGCAGATCACAATCTGATTTAGGACCAGCAAGTATATCAACATACATAGTTCAAAAGCATTAACATAAAGACTACGTTCTCCTTTTACGATTTACGTCTTAAGGCTTCCAACGAAGCCACAAGCCCTTAATCACATGATTCTGACTTAGTTCATTAATAATAGAAGTTCAACTTCATCACTCTAGGGTCCACAAACCCCCAATAGTCTACTGTCCTCACAGCACAGCTACTGTTCTTCGAAATCCCAGAATATCCGGATATTCCTCAGGGCATATCCGGATATCCAATATCTGGATATCTCTCTAGCAATATCCGGATATCCATATCTGGATATTTCACGGGAAATATCTGAATATTTCGCGAAGATATCCTTCAAAGGTACCATCTTTACCGATTACAGAAGCCTAAACATGCATTTATAGGTGTGTTTGACATTACCTCAAGTTAGGTTATCATCTTTTAACCTTTACATGCATCAAGATTCCATTTTTAAGCATAAAAACTCAAGTTCAAGGGTGATAACCATACCACAAGCTCAAAACAGCAAAGGGAGATGCTCTTGGAGCTCACTAGACAACTCCAAGGTTCTGACTTCACCAAGTAACGAAAATGAACTCAAAGGTGAGTTCTTTCTTCACCAAGGAAGCTACTTGGAGCTTCAAACAACCAAGAACAAGGTGACTCTCCTCCCAACTCTCAAACTCAGAACAAGAACCTCACAAACAGCAGCTTACAAACTCAGAAAGGCTACCTCTCACTCTCACAAAGCCACCCACAAGTGTTTACAAGGAGGAAATGTGAAGGAAATCAAGAAAGATAGCAACTTGGTCTCAAAAGTGGAGGAGAACACCAAAGGAATAGAACCAGCAGCTGACCAGCCTCCAAGCACTCAAGTAGAGTGATAGCATGGCCTAGGGTTTTGTGCAAAATGCACTTAAATAGCCACTTAAGAATAAAACACACAGTATTAACTTAATTAGCTACGCTTAGCATTTTAATCCCAAACTTTGGATTCTTAACCCACATAATTTTACAAGAATTATCATATTTTTCTTATATTTTTCGGAGCACATTTCTAGTACGCGCTTTTCATAGCCAGTACCAGTTTTTGGCACCAGTTCTCATTATATTGACTTGAAACTCGTTTTACAAGTCCTATATATTGTTATAGTAATTATCATGCACTTATTATAATTTTTCGGAATACTTTTTCGGTACGCATTTACACCGACTAGCAGAACCGGTATATGCATTTTTCTTCCGAAAAGCAACTTTCAGCATTCTTAATCACTTATCATAATTATTAAAGCCTTTTAATAATTATTAGGATCAATTATGAAATTATTTCTTATTTTCGCATAATTAATTACTTAATTAACAGTGCGAGTTTTTACACGCATAGTATTGTGTATTGTGTCTGCTGGAAAAAAGTTTTAACTTTCCTATAACATGATAAAGTCAAAACTCTTTATTAGTTCGATTTTTCTCCGGCAATAACTAAAAACAAAGATATGCTGCAGATACAAAAAAAGGGGCCCACTGGTTTTTTTAAAAAAAAAATTACCACGATCCGACGTTGTGTATCGGTAAATATTTGTCTGCGACAGCGGCATAAATAAAGCAGTGTTTGTAACACCAAACTAAGTACATTTTCATGGTATATAATATGGCAAAAATAAAAAAATTAATTTTTTTAAAAAAATATTTTTTCTACCATTTATTTATTCAGTAGGAATATTTTGTTTACTGCAGATACATATTTATTCGAATCCTGGTAATTTTAAAAAAAAAAAACAATGGGTCCGATTTTTTGTCTCGTCAGAAAGCAATTATTTGCTTGCAGAAAAAGCGAACCGCCGAACCCGTATAATATTTAGATTTGGAGAAAAGAATGTTTAAACATTTCTGATAATTAAAACCATAGAATCCTCATTGAAATGAAAGAATATTACAACTTGAACAAATTTGTTATTGTAGACGCATCTCAACATATTCAACCCTTTCACCTCATCACCCGAATGAGAAAAAAATGGAACTAGAGATAATCAGTTAGTCCATGAAGAATGCCAAAAAGGGCCATTTAAACTGGGAACAAAAAAAAAAAAAAAAAACAACGGATTCAAAATGTTAAAGACCACAAATTGTAGTGAATATTTAACACATGGGAAGATCAGCAGGTGGCGGAAGCAGTTTCTGATGTGGAAGCTTTCCATCTAATACAACCCAAGCCATCCTTAAACCCCAGCTCGTGTGAATTTCAAGATGACAATGCATGAACCATACCCCTGCTCACATAATTTAACAGTATAATCCATAAGTTCAAAACAAATCACCAGAACAATGAAAAAAAATTAGCCCTCTTATGTCCAGTATCTTTTATTATGTGTTTGTTGGTGTTTTAATTCGATATTATATTTGCAGAGTATTGCATGCCATATTATTGCTAATTAGATAAATCTAGTGAAAATTATCATTCCTCAATTTTAATCTAATATGCATGGTTTTGATTAGCAAAAATAATTTTCTTTTGACTTGTTTAAGGTTATATTAAAATGTAAATTTATCACAACTACGTTGGACAAAGTAGCCCTTTTTTATGGTGAATGACAAAGTGGTGGTTTCAAATAGCTATTGTATTGCAAAATGGTAACAAGAGATGTTATTAATCATACCTGGGTTATCAGCCAAGAAACGAATGGCGACCCATCCACCAGAAGGGACTCCCACTGTGTTTCTTTCAATTGGGTCAACAAGATTGAAGTTTGCAGGGTCCTTATTTGGATCAAAGTTTCCAAATCCTTGGCCAACAACAAAGAAGTTAAAACCATGCAAATGGAGAGGGTGACTTTCAGCACCAAGAATGCTGGTGTCCTGCATCACAAGTTCTACACTTGTGTTGAATGGAAGGACCACCAACTTTGTCCCATTGCTCACCATTGTGTTATTTGGTGGATTTCCTGTATAGTTGAATGGAATCAATGGACTACTTGGAAAGTTTGGTGAGTAAACTTCATTGGATTGACCAAAGAAGTGGGCTTGAAGAAGAGCAGTTGTTGGGAGTGTGAAAGATACATTATTCACTGATGCTGCAAACTTTGTTCCATTTGGTCCTTGACATGTTTTGTTATGCTGGCAGGGATTTGTACCAAGTCCTACTGTGAAGAAAAATTGTCTATCAACTTCCAAGGGAACATTAGCAGGAAACTGAGAGCTTGCAAGGCTACGAAGCTTGCTGGTGAAAGTTGTTGCAAAAGAAGTGTCATTAAGGGCAGGGAGGATTGGCTTGAAGAGTAAGAGCTTTTTCATTGAAGTTGTTGAATGAAGAGAGTTTGATGGAACTTCATATTCAAGGATACCAGCAACAGTTGAGTTGTCAAAAGTGCCCTGGCCAGTAACATATGGTGTAGCACTCATGAAGAATGTGGCATTGGGGTAGTAGGATTTGGTTTTGAGAAGAATATTAGTGGTTTGTCCTGGGGCAATCAGAATAGTGTCTGTCTCAAATGGTTTAACATAAATTGCATCTACTGCAACGACTGTGAGGGTGTGGTTTGCAATGCTGAAGAAGAGTTCATCATTGAGTGCAGCATTGATCAAACGGAGAAGGTATGTTTTCCCAAGCTTGACCTTTAGCTTGAATGTGTCTGCAAAAGACCAATAATTTTCATATAGAATCAAAACATATCCAATTTTAATTCATAAGGATGTGGTTAAGTGTTACTCTTCATAATTTTAGGAATTTAGCCACTAGTAACCACATAACATGGGGTATTCTTAAGTTACTTTTTTTTTTATTATCACTTGATACCTTTAGCAGAGCAGTTATATAATGGCCCTGGAAGTCCATTAATAGTGTAGGCATCAGAGACATTTGGTCCTCCACCTGTTTGCAATGCTTGTTTTATGACAGCCTCAGGATCTGCATTCCACCATTCTCCTGAAAAATGTTATTAATATATCAAAGTAAGGTCAGTGCTTAATACATGCAGGTAATATTGGTGAACTATGGTATGGTGTCAATCACTTTCTCATTACCAAAGGTGATGGGAACTTCCTTGTAAGGTTTGGTAAAAGGATATGGAACTCCATGCTTTGGAAGAATGATGAGAGGACCATAGACAGAAGATCTTAACCAAGAAATGTGAGCATGCCAGAAGAGAGTGCCTCTTTGGCCAACGATGGTGTAATTGTAGACATAACTTTGGCCTGTTTGAATAGGGCACTGAGTCACATATGCAGGTCCATCAGCCCATCCTGATTGAAGCTGTCTAATGCCATGCCTATTTGGAACATAACCAAGTATTTTCAACACATGAAAGTTCAATTTACAAATTATGTTCAATTTCTTTTGTAAACTAAATTATTTTACCAATGGATGGAGATGTTGTTGTGTACATGGTTAACCACTTTGATAAGAAGACGATCACCCTCCCTAGCAACAATGCGTGGCCCAGGAAACTGACCATTAACTGTGACCATGCTCTTTGTGTGGCATAGTCTTGATACATTTTGGTACTTTATCTGCATCACAAAACCAAGCCATTAGATACAAAGCAAACAGATACATGTGAAAATAAACTAAAAGAATGTGAAATGTAAATGGTTTAATTTTGAAAAATAAGGTAGCTTTAAGATAAAGGTATCAAGTCCTTTAGAGATGTACATCAAAATGGTAGTGCCTTGTAATGCCACCATGTGCAAGCTGAGGGATGGTGATCAAAGAGAAGAGAAGCATTGCTGAAAATAGAAACGATTGAAGAAGTGGAAGGCCCATATTTATGAGTTGTAGAGAGTGCAAGAGAGAAAATGTGATATTTAATACACAGTTTGTTTGAGTTTGAACTGTGGATGCAACAGAGCTCATTGGTAGTGCAATTTATAGATGAATGATAGCATGTGGTTGTTGCAATATTATCTGTTTCAAAGAGAAGCTAAACTCTATAAGATGTTCATGTGCTTTTTATTGAGTTTTTTAATGAGTTCAGTTGTTAGAACAACTCTGGAGTGGTGTCCAAGACAATCATTCACCTTGATCGTTTGACCTCCTTCCTGCAGAAATCAAACCTTTGCAAAATTTGCTCCTTTTAATATTGTTCTCGCAAAACTCATTTACAGTATATTTTACCCACCTTTTTGTGCATGAAAAATGACATTTGAAAAGGAGTCAAGTAAGGGTGTTCAAGTAAGAAAGGAACTTGTTTGTAAAATTAGTGTAAAATAGCAAAGATATGTCTCTTATCTAAGAAAAAGTTATTGATTTTTTCCTTGTATAATATATTTCTGAAATGCTATTTCCTATCAATTGTTTTCTCTGTCAATTAAACGATATGTCTCTTATCTGAGATCTTTGAATCAATTTCATTGAACTCTTTTTTAGCACAAATTTAAATTGGTTTGAAATCCAAAAACCACCAATGAAGGTTCATTAGCGGCATTGAAGCGTTGAGAATTTTTGGTCAGATGTAACTCTCTCAACCGATGTTCTTAGTGCCAAAGCAATGGACAAGGGGGGGTTCTATCAAGTAGTCATTGTTTGCCATATTTTTTAACGTTATTGTAAAGAACCTTGAGGTCACCACTCCAAAAGTTAGCTCAAGGGGTGGGAGTGCCCAAGGCCTTATAAAAGTCATATTAGTTACCCATCCAATCAATGTGGGACTATATATCTCAACACGCCCCCTCACGCAAGAGCCCTTTAGGCTAGAAGCGTGGAAATTGCACAGACCCATTGTAAAGAACCTTGGAATACACCACCCCAAAAGCTAGCTCAAGGGGTGGGAGTGCCCAAGGCCTTATAAAGGCCATATTAGTTGCACATCCAATCAAGGTGGGACTATATATCTCAACACGCCCCCTCACGCAAGAGCCCTTTGGGCTAGAAGCGTGGAATTGCACATGCCCAATTTTTGGTTTACCTTTTTGTGTTTTATTTTATTTTATTTTAATTCCACTTTTTAAAGCGGGAGACGGTGAGACTCTGATACCATGTAAAGAACCTTGAGATACACCACCCCAAAAGCTAGCTCAAGGGGTGGGAGTGCCCAAGGCCTTATAAAGGCCGTATTAGTTACCTTTATAAGGCCTTGAACACTCCCACCCCTTGAGCTAGCTTTTGGGGTGGTGTATCCCGAGGTTCTTAACAGTTATCACGAACTACAAGACAGAAATCATGCATGAATAATAAGGAAACCTCAATGAACGCTATTCTCTTTCAAGAAAGACACGCTAACTCGTAAGCACCATCCAAATGGAGAAAAGTTAAAAAAAAAAAAAAAACACGCGCACGCACGAGCTCATTTTTAGTACATCAGTGCTACATATTACTTCTATTCAAAATCTAACAGATGTATTTAAGATTCCGCTTTTCTCTATTACATGTCAATATTGGTGTTTCGTGTTTGATTTTAATTGGAGGAATGTATAGAAAGTGGACGCATATGTAATATTGTAGAAATTTCTCACACGCGCACACACTTATATGAGAGGAACTTATTTACAAAATGCAAAGCTTTTATTTGCATATTTGATTAGTGGTAGAACCTTACATTTTCTCTCTTTCATTACTACACTTGATATTAGCCTTAGGAAGTTGAATGCAATCAAAAGAAACAAAAGGTAAAGTATGATTCAGTAGTACTTAATCAATTAATAACCCACCAAACTTGATCTGTTTTGCGTACAAAATCTAAAATATCCCCTGCTTGATGTGAGTGACTTATTTTTGTAAATATTTGGAAGCTTTGTTTGCAAATGGTTAAATACTTATTTCTAAAAGTTAAAACCTAAAAATAAGGATATATGCATTAAGTTCACGCAGAATGCGATATAATGTACTAAGCAAGGAATTATTTTAACACCGCATCTTAATTTAAAGCATGAAGTTTAAGAGTTTTTTCTCGCTTATGTAATCCTTACTATATCCATCCTTTTTCTAATATAAGAGTTATTGTTGCATTATACTGAATTCAAATATAAACTCCAAAACCTCATAAACAAGGAACCACATAAATAGCCTAATACCATATCTTGGTTTAAAACTTGAAATCTTAGGTTTATGATTCTTTTTGCCTAATATTATATTTACTTTATTTATTCCTTTTTCAAGGTTAAATGCTAAACAATCTCATCACATTTCTTCCAAACAAAATATGTATATTATTGTTGCAGTTTAGTGAACTCTCATCTAACCACTATGATAGTCAAGTATTTGTCTGAATATGTAGCTTTTTTATGACGACTTTCCCAGGTGTTTGAAAAAAAAGGAGTACAATGACCAAAGTGCCACATTTTTTGCAAAAAATTATCTAAATGTCACGCTATGCAAATTTATTTCCAAAATATCACATCACCTAACTTGTTACAACACCTGGTGAGTTGGGTGTTGACACGTGGCAGAATGTGCATGGCCACGTAAACCGCTGCAAAGTATAATGAGATTACGTAGCATCAAACATGCTATGCAGCATTGCATGTTTAGTAAGCTTCTGACACATGACAAACGTGCTATGCAGCATAACATATTACGTGTATCTCATAAAATAATTTAAATTAATATAAAATTAAACTAAAATAATTAACAAACATAAATTACATTTAATTCATTAACACTCCTAAATTAAATTACATTACTTAACAGTTCAAAAAAATTAACTTAACTTAAACTAAATCAAATGAAATTCATTAACACTCTTAAAAATGATTAATTAATAGTTATAAAATAATTTAAATTCATATAAACTAAATTAAACTAAAATAATTAGCAAACATAAATTACATTTAATTCATTAACACTCCTTAATTAAATTAAAGTACTTAACAGTTCAAAAAAAAATTAACATAACTTAAACTAAAATAAATGAAATTAATTAACGCTCCTAAAAATAATTAATTAATAGTTATCAAATAATTTAAATTAATATAGACTGAATTAAACTAAAATAATTAATTTAAATTATTTTATAACTATTAATTAATTATTTTTAGGAGCGTTAATTAATTTGATGACACACATGTAACATATTATACTGCATAGCACATTTGTCACGTGTCAAAAAAAATGACTAAACACGCTATGCTACATAGCACATTTGCCACATGTCAAAAATACCACGTGTCAGAAGCTGACTAAACATGTTATGCTGCATAACATGTTTGATGTCATGTAATCTCACTATACTGTACAGCGGCTTACATGACCATGCACTTTCTGACACATGTCAACACCTAACTCACTAGGTATTGTAGCGAGTTAGGTGACGTGATATTTTGAAGAAGAAAAATTGCTAAATGTGACATTCAAGTAATTTTTTGTGAAAAATGTGACACTTTGGTCATTGTCTCTTTGAAAATGCATCACATAGCCACATATAAAGGACATCTTATCTTGATAATGGATATATGATACATATTTGGGATTATATCTTACCCTTACAAAAAAAAAATAAGCAACTTGCACGATAAACGCCCGGAATGCCTCGTGCACCAAATACTTGCTATATGACAATTACATTAAGATACATTTTATTACAACTTACGTTCAGTTCATTTGGTCCCTCAAAATAAATTTTAGGGCATGTTAATAGGATACATTTCATTCGTCTCCAATTAAATTTTGATAAAGGAATTGTTGATGCTGTATGTTAAATTGCTGCAAAAGTCATATATAACATCAATGAACTTGACTTGCTGCACCAGGTCGGTATTCTCCGATTCCTAGCAAGTCCTGTAAAAGCAGCAAAAGGCTAAAAATTATTAGCTTAATTTGGCATACAAATTTTTAGTTATGACACCATGCATTTATTTATTTATGGCAACCGTCCCAGGAACTATAGAGAAAGTAATTTAACAACAACAAAAACCGAGAAAGAGAAAGAAAGAAAACACGTAGCACAAGAATAAAATTAGATTAAGACAACTATGTTGCTAATTGCAAAGAACCAATTTAACCTTAAATTTGAAATCGTTAAGCATTAAACCAAAAAGATTTTCTTTACTCTAGTGTCCTTAGAAACCTTGGAACAAAAGGGTGAGATTTACTAAATAAAGAAGGGATCCCAACCTAAAATAAAATTAACGGGAGATAACTATGTCTTCGTATGATTTTCCATATCCTTCTGTATTGTAATTACAATATGTTCTGGGGAGGCTTCCAAACAGAACCTAAGGGAGCGTTTGGTATGGGAGATATATTTTTTTTACCGGGAAAAAAAGATTTCTGAAAATATGGAAGAAATTTTTTTTTGTCAGGTAAGTTACAAAAACATGTAAATAGTCTAGTTGACCTTCAAAGCACGGACACGCTTGTTGAAGAAAAATTTGCGTGTCGAACACGTGTCTGACATGGACACGCTCCGACAAGCGTACGACACACGATCAACATTTGGGGACACGCGGTTAACTCTTCGACACGTTTTTCCGACAAGCGATGAACGCTCGGACACTTTTTTTTTTTAAACAAAATCTTATTTTATTTTGTTAACTAAATATAAAAGAAATAATTTATAAATTAATTTTTTTCTGTTATGAAATTTGACATGGAAAATTAACAAAGTACGGAAAAATTATTTATTTTTATGTTTATGGTATGAAATTTAAATATTTGATTGGTTATATGACTTATTATGGACTCTTATATGTATTAGATATAAATTATATTATATATATTAAAAATTTTATTTAATATCAAAACATGTCCCACGTGTCGAAATATGATATTTTTTAGAATTAACGTGTCGGCGTGTCGTGTCGTGCCCCGTGTCCGTGTTTGTGCATCATAGGTTGACCAAGCTGTTTTAAAACAAATTTCGAATTTAACTAACCAATCAGATGCTGAATCAAAGTGGGATTATTGCTAGTAAATATAATATCATCAACATACACCAAGATGTAAATGGAGTTACCACCAGCTTTGTAGATAAAAAAGAGAAGGGTCACACTTGCTACACCGAAACCCAAATTGCAAAAAAGTAGTGCCAAGCTTCTCAAACCAAGCTCTTAGAGCTTGTTTAAGACCATATAGAGCTTTGCAAAGTTTATAAAACAGAGATTTATCAGCCACTTCAAAACCAAGAGGTTGAGACATGTACACTACCTTTAAAAGGTCACCATTCAAAAATGCATTGTTTACAGCTAATTGTTATAAAGACTAGCCTTGAATGAGAGCCAAAGTCAACATAATTCGAATGGTAACAGACTTTACCACAGGAGAAAACGTTTCTCTATAATCTAATCCATGTTGTTGAAGGAAACCTTTAGCAACAAGTCTGACTTTGTATTTATTGATGGAGCCATCTGGATTTTTTTTTATACGGAAACACATTTACAGCCAATTGGCTTGCGGGTTGGTGGTAAAGGAATTAAACTCCATGTTCCATTTTTCTGTAAAGCAAAAAATTCCCACTGCATTGGATGAAACCAAAGAGAATCTGCTAAAGCTTGCTTAATATTAGTGGACTCCATATGTGCAGTAAAAGAAATAGGTGCAAGATCTTTTGATCTAGTATGGATGGAATGTGTAGGAGATGACGTAAGTAAGTTAGAAGAGGGAACATATTCAGAACCAGAAGAGGAAGAAGAAGGGGAAACAATAGGAGCAGAAGACGAAGAAGATGAAGATGTGTTTTGACTTGAAGCAACTGGAGTAGAGTTGGAAGACTGTCCAGGGGAAGCAACTGGAGAAGACTGTCCAGCAGAGAGAACAGGGGATGCAGGGATGTGTAACGCCCCGTTCTAGAACCGGTTTGTTAACATCGCATTATGATATTAAGCGCAGTTACAATCACATGGGTTCAATTAAAATCCGGATAAATTTTTCATTTTAAAACGTACCGAACTTATAATACCCAATTTCGTGATCATAACCATATTACCTTGCGGAAACAGATAAATTAAGCTTAACATCATGTTCATTTTCCATTTTTAAACCATTAATTTACTTCTTGTTTAGTTCAAAACTTCTACTATATTGTAGGTTTCTTCATTAGCTACCCGTGGCTTCAAACCGTGCTCAAATCGGAGCACTGTAGCCCAAGTTAGGACAATTTGAAGCAACACAAAAGAGTGTTGGTCACAGGCCCCGCGCGCTTCAGCGCGCTACTGGGCGCTCAAGCGCGCTCTATCGGGCGCTAAAGCCTCCATCTGGGCGCTTAAGCGCACGGAGGCAGTAAGCATCAGGCATTCCAGTGTGGATGAGCGCTTAAGCGCGCAACAGGGCGCTCAGGCGCGCTATCCTGGGCGCTTAAGCTCCCACGGGGACGTTTTAGCGCGCAGAGACAGAAGCATCTCCTCCTTCAGTGGCGAAGGGCGCTTAAGCGCGGACCAGGGCGCTCAGGCGCGCCACCCTGGGCGCTTAAGCCCCACCCTGGGCGCTAAAACACGAGGGGGCAGTAAGCCACCCAACTTTCTGCAGCAAAGGGCGCTTAAGCGCACGCCAGGGCGCTCCAGCGCGCAATCCTGGGCGCTTAAGCCCCCACTTGGGCGCTCCAGCGCGAGGAGGCAGAATGCATTGGCACTCGCAGGGGCAGCAGGGCGCTTGGGCGCGCTCCTGGGCGCTTAAGCGCGCTGCCAGGGAATCCCAATTCCCACATTCCTCAAGTCCAAGCCTAGGGGAAAATGCATCCCCATTACAAACCCCAATTGTCCATGCCCCAAAACTAAATCCTAGCACTCATCCAACCTCTCCTCATGAGATTTAGCTAGAGTTTAGGCAGCATGACCTTTGTTTTCTCATCGTTTACCAGTTTAAACAAAAGGGTACCTAATTGATTTTCAGCCCAACCAATTCAACAACTCAATACATAACAAGCATGCATATATTGAATTTCAAGTAGGCATCATTTACATTACATATCCTTTACAAATCATAGAACTTAGCTTACAAAACACTATGATCATTCCCTTGGCTCCCATCAACAAAAGGTGTAACCAAAGGCATGAGCATAGGCTAAGTTCATCCAATGAATCAAGATATACAAATGACCATGGGCTTTCAAAATAAAATCCTATACATGTCAACTACAAAAGGCATGCATAAACTCAAAAGAAATGCCACATTTCATGCATAATCCAGATATGGCCATTTGCCACCAGAGGCTCCTGCAGCATCCTTACCTGAAAGGGGGTCCCCACAACACGGGGTGAGATATACGAATATATCCAGTAAACCAGGGGTCCTTGGAGCATCTCTCCACCCCACAGTTCCATATCAGTGTAATAACAATAACAATAATAATGCAGTAAATACATATCTATGCAAAGTGCAATACATCTCCAGGAGAAATCCCTCGAGCTCTCAAGCTGTCCTAAGGAAACTCAGATGCAAATAGTCCTACTGGCCAGCTAACTACCAAGTATGATTTACGCATCGTCATGCAACATACCAACATAGGGAAACACCATCCTATGTCACACCAAATGCATACACATACGTATAACAAGGCATTACACTATTTTATTGCATTTACATACACAATAATCATCACTACCCTTTCAGGGCTTGGTGGAACAATCAAGGGAATTACACCCAAGGTCCGAAGGCTTACCTCAATGCTTCAGTCCACCTTTGTTCTTCACCAACAGTTTCAACAATCAACTTTTACAAACATACACCTATACAAGGGTAATGCAATTAACATATTGCATCCAAGAGTATTTCACAATCAACCATCAATTACTCAATTCGAAACACAACACAAGTATGTGCTTACCAATTCCAATGAGCTATTCAAGCTCCATAGCTTGCTCCAATGGTTGATCACTCACGGTTGGTCCAAATGTCTCAATCCTAGACATCACAAGGATCCAATCAATCATTCAACTCACTAATTGTTCAACATGCTAGAATACTAACCAATCCAAGCATGAATTTTCCAATATTATGAACAATTATCAAATGACTATCTAGGCTCATTTCCACCGATTAAATGACATTCCTAGCATTTTCCATAACATGCTCTAAGCTCCATTCTTCCTAGAACATAGCTAATTCAACCACATTTCATAAAAATCCCAATTTACTATTCACAAACCCTAACTCATGCAAATTTCAAGGAATCATGAGGCTCAAGGGTTAGAATCTTACCACCAATGGTCACACAACCAAGCAAGGAGTGTTCCTCAAGCTCCCATGGAGGTTGAACTACTCAAAACCCCAAAATCACTCAAATGGTCGAATTTTTGAGAGGCAATATCCCTCTCCACAATGCTCCCCACTCAAAACAAAGCAAGGATTGTGAAAGAGGAGGAGATTTGGAGTGGTTTAGGCTTTTGAACAGATGGATTTGGTTGAGATTTGCTTTCTCTCTCTCTTTTTCCCTTTTCTTCTTCCCTCTCTTCTCTTCTCCTCTGTTTTCTGGCGACGGGTTTCTGGGGGAAATGGGGGTCTTTTGGTAGCTTAAGTCACTTAACATAGGTTAAGTAGCTTTAAGCGGGTATTGGTTCGTCTATCTATTCAACTCCAATAATTACCAAACTTTATCCAAAAGTCTGGAGTATTATTCTAGGAATATTACTATTTTTATTTTTATATTTTGGGCACTTTTGCCAGTACCCATTTCTACCCCTTAATTTTCACTGAGTACACTTTTTAACTCCAAAGTGACTCAGATTCATTTAATTAAGCCTTATACTTAATTTCACTCACTAAAACATGTTTAATTAATTAATTACACTTGATTTACTAATTAATTAAGATGGGCTATTATAGGATGCTTGCAGAAGTTGGAA